GGGACCAATCCCTGGAGAAGGACATCATTCTTGGTAAAGTGGAGAAAAAGAGGAAACCCCCCAATGAAATGGACTGGCACAGTAGCGGTAGCAATGGGCTCAAGCATAACAATGATTGTCAGGTTGATGCAGGACCGGGCAGTGCTTCGTTCTGTTGTGCGTAAGGTCACTACGAGTCAGTAATGACTCAATGGTATCTAACAACAACATAAATAGCTTATGGTAGGTTCACAAAATCAGACTCAGAGCTGTCTCTAACACTGACTGACGCAGTTGTGTTGTTGTTGTTGCTGTGTGTTATCAAATTGATGATAATCCTGGTGACCCTCCATAGGGTGTTCTTGGCTGTAATCTCTATGGGAGTAGATCCCCAGATCTTTCACCCACAGAACTGCTTGGTATGTTCACACCACAACCTTTTGGTTAGCAGCCAAGCTACTAAATTATTGAGCCACCAGGAGCCCTTGATACAGTCATAGATAATATTTGAATTCACAGTTGTCTCTTTATCAACATGATGTATTGTTGTTGTTGTTGTCAAGTGCCATCAAGTCGATTCCAACTCACAGTCACCCTGTATAGGGTTTCCAAGGACTGACCAGTGGGTTTGAACCAGAGATGTTGTGGTTAGCAGTCCAGTGCTTATCTTACAGAGCCACACCAGGAATCTCAACATGGCCAAAGCTAACCTAAATCTTGGTCTTCACTGAATGAAAAAATACCATGTAGAAACTAGAGTGATCATTTTGTTACACCTGATGGGAAACTTTGGAAACAGATATCATTGTTGTAGATTATAATAAATACACCAGTGTCATCACATTGTACATATGAAGAATGTTGGAAGGGTAAATGTTTTGTTACATATTCACCACAATTAAAAAAAAAAATTAAAGAAGTAAGACAGCTCAGGTATCTAGAGCTGGATTTTTGGAATGAGCTTGAGTTGTCAGATATTGTGGAAACTTGAGCTTTGGTGAATCCACATTACAAGCAAGACTTAAGGCTGCTAAAGGACAAGAAGTTCTCAACAGGTAGATGGGTGAGCAGTGGAGCATTTACCACAGACCTGGGTATTCTTCAGAGTGTAGATAACTGTTACATCTTTCTTCTCTCCCGTTATAACGCCGCCAACGACTCGAGAATTCATCCTGAAATTCTTCTTGACAAGGGAGTCCTGAGTACCTTGGAAGTAGCTCTCATCTAAAAGAGACTGCATGCTCTCAAAGGAGACAAAAGCCACCCCGGTAATACCTGCAAATTCCCCAAAGGGATAAAAACGGGAATCATTTAAAAAGTGGTTACTATAGATTTCCCAACACCTTCCCCACATACTTTAACACCACATACACCTCACTGTTCTGTTCTGACCCTCCAGAATAATGATCTTCACCAGAACCATAAAAAATCCTGGGGTGCTATTATCTCAACAAATCATGGCTATGAATGAAAATACATTTGAATTTGTTTTCATATATGGATGGCGTGATGCCTGGGTTTAGCTTCATTCTTTTGTTGTTTGGACACTGGGTTTCTGTTACATCCATTGTAATCAAGTCAACTCTGACTCAAGGTTACCCTGTGTAACAGAGTAGAATTTCCCCCATGGGATTTCTCGGCTGCCATCTTTATGGAAGCAGATTGTCATATCTTTCTCCCTCAGAGTGGCTGGTGGATTCGAACAGCCATTCTTTCCATTAGCAGCCAAGCACTTAACCGCTCTACCACCCAGATCCTTTTCTTAAGAGTGATGGAAATTCTTGGAAACAGATAATGGTGATGGTTGAGCAACATGTTTAATATAATTAATGCTGCTGAAGTGTGCACGTGAAGAATGTTGAAATGGCAGCTGTTTTGTCATCGTTGTTAGCTGCCATTGAGTCGACTCTATGTGTGACAGTGTAGAAATACTCCATAGAGTTTTCCTGACTGTGATCTTTATAGAAGCACTTTGCAAAGCCTTTATTCCACAGAGTCACTGGGTAGGTTCAAATTGTCAACCTTTAGGTGAGCAGTAGATTGCAAACTAGTTGTGCCACCAAGCTCTAATGTTTTGTTACATATATCTAATTGTTGCATACATATAAGTGTTTTGTTACATATATATACTAATTTCTTTTTTGCATGCATGTAAGTTTTATTATATACATACAATTGCTTTGTTGCATACATATAAGTGTTTTGTTACATATCTTTTTTTGTTACATGTATCATTGTTTTGTTGCATATATGTAAGTGTTTTGTTACATCTATCTATAGTTGTTTTGTTGCATACATATGTGTTTTGCTATATGCATGAAAGTGTTTTGTTACATACAAATATTTTGTTACATGTATATTTACCATATTACAAGAGGCCCTCAAAAATTCCTGGAAAAATTCCATTATCTTTAAATTCCATTTTTACATGAACCATTTGAAAACCCCTTATAAATAAGCAAATAAGTAAATTTGAATTTGTGTCTTCGAGTGAGGGCAATTTAACTCAGCATTGGGAAATAAGCTCTCCTCCCACATTTATTGAAGCCCTAGTGTGGCACTGTGGGATAAAGCACTGGACTGCAAGGTCAGTTTGAACCACGAGTTTGTAAGCCCTATACTCCTTGTAAGCCCGATACAGGATTGCTATGAGTCAGAACCTCTAAGGCACCTAACAACAACAACCACCCACATTTATGGTTATTCTTGTTCAGTCTCCTTGTGAGCTTCCCTCCACAGCCTCCCCTTCCTATATCAGTGGTCTCTGGGGATGTGTGCTAGACTCACTCCATGTCCCATCCAACCCTAAGTCTCTCTTCACAAGCTCCAAGCTGATGGCTTCCACAGGCCCCTGAAGGGACTCCATGGCCCCTAAGAGGTGAGCAATAAGTATCGACTGACTGGATTGCACTACAACCACTTTCCTGGATTCTTGGGAACATGTCTGTACCTGTGGATTCTGATTTCTCAATTGTGGAGCATCTGATTTTCATTTCGTCCCCTTTGGCTTTCAAGTGAAAGAAGACATTCTCTTCTTCAATGCATTCTTCTTTGACAACTCTACTCTCAATTTCTGAAAGGAGAAAGGGAGAGTTTGTAAAATGAGTTTGGAATCTGGTTTCTATAAGATTACACATCCACAGTCGTGTAAAGGGAAGGCCAGCTTATCACGTGATAGGTCTTGAATCATCTGAGGAATGACAGAGGGGTGGTAGTACCAAGCAAACAAGAAAACCCATTGGAGCTTTAGGAGTGAGTCCTCACATCTTAGGGGTGAAGTTCCATCGGATGGAGTTGAAGTCAACGGTGATAGAGTGCCACGTAATCACCATCTTCAGGCTACTCCAAATTCAGCCAAGTTTTCCAGAGGAGCCCCCTGGGTGGTGCAAATGGTTACACAGTCCTGGACTGCTATCCTAAAGGTTGGAAGTTTGATTCTATCCAGAGGTGCCTCAGAAGAAAAGTCTGGCAATCTGCTACTGAAAACTCTATGGAGCAGTTCTACATGGAGCCACCATTAGCTGGAACCATTGAAAACTCTATGGAGCAGTGCTACATGGAGCCACCATGAGTTGGAACCAACTCAGTGATAATTGGTTAGGGAGTTTCTGGCTCCTGCAAATAGTTACCATACTCAGTAGTTAACCAAAAGGTCCACCCAGAAGCACCTTGGAAGAAAGACCTGGTGATCTACTTCTGAAAAATCAGTCATGGAAAGCCCAACGGAGCTCAGTTCTACTCTGACATACATGGTCTCAATGAGTGGTGGTGGACTCAACAACAACTTTTTTAACTTTTTTGTTTTAAATCGTTTTGTATCCATCCTAGTACCAAATCAGAGCTCTGCTCTATCTCTTTGTATTCACTTTGGGACCCAAGTAGATGCAATAGCTGAGATCTAGAACATTGCCAGGTACTATGCCATAGAGAAAGAAAGTTCTGGAAGGTTTCAATGAATATCATTTTATTTGAAATTCATTGATCTGAACTCATCATAAAAATTCCACCTAACCCCAAAGTAACCAGGAAGTATGCAACCATGCTACTATGGCCCCAGAGGAGAAAGCTGGAAGTATTTGAGCACAGAAATTGACTATCACACCTTAACATATGGCATATAGTACACAGTGCACAGTTGTTTGTTGAATGACTTAATGACCCACTCTTAGCCCTCAAAGATGCAAGCACTCTTGTCAAGCATTCAGTGATGTTGTGAATAAGATTAGGCATGCTTTGCTGTGAGTTCAAGGTTTTGGAACACTTGGGGAAATACTGTGAGAAAGTCACAGGAAGTTACATAGCCAAGATCTTCTCTCAAAATCAGTACCAGGTGTGACCTGGTCATGCAAGTGGGACATACCTAAGGACTTAGTCTGAACAGTCTGACTGCTGTTTTCTGAGGGTCTCAGGAAGGTGGCCAGTATGACGCTCTCCACAGTCTCCAGCACAACTTTGCCCAGCGTGGACCGCTCTTCCTGTGTTAAGTTGGACCCCGTGGTTGTTTGTCCAAGCACCAAAGCAAAGCTCTCCATCTTTCTCTGCAAAGAAAGGTTTATCACTCTCTCTCTCTCCTCCCCCACTACATTGTTGTTGTTGTTGTTAAGTGCCGTCGAGTCGGTTCTGACCCATAGCGACCCTGTACAGGGTTTCCGAGGCTGTAAATCTTTACAGGAGCAGAAAGCCTCATCTTTCGCCCACGGAGCAGCTGGTAGTTTCGAACTGCTGACCTTAAGATTCGCAGTCCAATTCGTAACCACTACGCTACCAGAGGTCCTTCTCCCACTACATTACATTGATTATATTCTAGATCTCTGTGTATGTGGTATGGTGGGTTAAGTGCCGGGATACTCACTGAAAGGCTGGCAGTTCAAACCCCCCAGCCTCTCCATAACAGAAGATGTGGCAGTCTGCTACCATAAGTAGAAACACTATGGTGTAGTTCTACTCTGTGTACAGGGTCATTAAGAGTCAGAATCACCAAGACAGCAGTGGGTTATATATACTGAGCCTGCATACTGGACTCCTGGTATGGTGCTAAAAGGTTATCACTGGACAAACCACAAGGTTGGCAGTTCAAACCCACCAGCTGCCCCTTGGAAACCCCATACAGGGTCGCTATGAGTGCAAACCAATTTGACGGCTCTTAACAACAGTGAACAAAGAAGAACTGCTCCCTGGGATTTTCAAGGCTATAAATCTGTTATGGACGTTGAAAGCCTCACCTTTCCCCAGAGAAGCAGCAGGTGGTTTCAAACTGCTGACCTTGTGATTAGCAACATAATGTGCAACCCACTACACCAGTGCTCCATATACGTATGTGAATATGTGTGTGTGTGTGTATTTGCTGTTGTTGTTAGATGCCATCGAGTCAGTTCTGATTCATAGCAACCCTATGTATATCAGAAGGAAATGCTTCCCGGTTCTGCACCATCCATACATTTTTGTTACACTTGAGCTCCTTACTGCTGCCACTGTGTTCATCTGACTCATTGGGTGTCTTCCTCTTGTATAGTGACCTTCCACCTGGATATAAGCATGATGTTCCAATCCAAAGACTGGTCCCTCATGATAATATGAATATTGAAACTACCATGGAGTGCCAGCAGAACAAACAAATTTGTCTTGAAAGAAATACAGCCAGCTGTTCCTTAGAAGCTAGGATGGTGAGACTTTGCCTTTCATACTCTAGACATAACCCTCCACTATACCTTATCCAAGGATCTCTGGTAGCGTAATGGTTATGAGTCGGGCTATGAACCTCAGTGTCAGCAGTTCGAAACTACCAGCTGTTCTGCGGGAGAAAGATGAGGCTTTCTGCTCCCGTAAAGATTTACAGCCTCAGAAACCCT